CAGTGAGAAACAAAATGAGCAATGGTCTTTGCAGGAATAGGGGCTTGGGATTTTTTTATTTAAAAAATAAACAAAAAAAAAGAAAAAATAGAAAAAAACAAGCATATCTGTAGCCATATTTCATTACACTCATCAGCTAAACATTTATTAAAAAAGGATGCATGTGACGAGATCTATTTGTCAGAAAGCACATTTGAGTTTTCAAGTTCATTGAAGAGAGAAAGCAAGAAATAACATTAATCATTAAAGACACTCAAGTATCACAAAATAACAGTAAAATAGGCATCAAACTGTAACACAGGCACCAGAAAAAACTGCAGCTATTCTTTATTGTATCATCAGCTTCCAACTGTCCCTTCTTATCTACCAGCTTTCCTAAAGGGAACTTAACATTTACGCTCACCCTCCGTATCTCCAGACAGCCCTGCGAAACATCTGCTGCTTTAGGAGCAAGACTCAGAACTGCCTGGTCATGATAACTGAGTTATCCCTTGAGCGCAAAGATGGCCTTTCAGCTGGAGCTGGGATGTAGCGGAATGGTAAGCAAGCCAGTCTTGTGGTGATCCCACATGTGCACTACTCATTCTCAGAACAGATGTCATCATTCTCTAAAAATTCCAACTAGCTCACATCGCAATACCAACTCAACTATTAAAATCAACTCTTCAAAATCTGAGTAACCCAAATCATGGAGCTACTGTGGGTATAAAAGCGTGTTTGATAAGAACAAAGCAGAGGCTGTATTCTAAGACTCTGTCAGAGATCTGTCTATACTATCTTAGGATTTCAACTTTTTTTTCCCAAGAGTAATTATCCATCTACATAAGCAATAATCTACCTCTTCATATGAATATTATAAAAATCTCAGTTTCATGCAGGAATATTAAGTTAAAAATGTCTTCTTCCCATGAATACATGCTGAAGAAAACAACACAAAAAGGAGTACTGAATGCAAATTCTCTTAAACTAGACCTAGACTAGTGGTCTATGATGGTTTTTATAAATAAAAAAAGAACCTAAAATGGGTTTTTTCCCTCCTCTCAGAGTTTGAAAAAAAAGAAAAATCATTACTTTAGCCAAAGAATGAACCTTAAAATTTGTATTTACTGATGACCATTAGACAGCACTCATGCTTTAAAAAAAATTATGATAAAAAAATAATATTGCAGTTCTTTGGTAACTACTGTATAAGATGCCTAAGCCTGGATACCAAGATAAGAGAGGGTTTTTTTGTCTGGTGTGACTGGTTGACAAAAAAACGTAAGTTTTGTCTCTTAAGAGGAAAAAAGCTTGCAAATTTTCAAGTTTCTTTAGTTTACATAATATGGAACAAAACCTTTCTAGTAAATGAACTGCTTGTTCATGTAAGCAGCATGTACTTACTATTTTCTCCTTTGATAATATTACAATAGATCTGAATACAGCTTAAGTTGAGTTTGGGATTTTTTTTGGGGGGGGGGGGGGAATGCGCTTTTTTTTTAAAAAAAAAAGTCACCCACAAACACACAGAAATCCTTTGGAGAATCTTTCCTAAGGTTTTTGAGGTATGTCCCTGTATTTTGTTGGGCATTCCACTAAAAACAAATGCAAAGTCATCAGAATCAGTAAAAATGCCTGCTCTGGATTTTCATTTGAAACTTGTCCCAAAATTGCATCTAACTGGATCCAAAGTCTCCTCTGAAAAGAGGTTCAGTTGTAAAAGGAAAAGAGTCACAACTAGAGGAGAATATACACAAATCCACCCAGTTGAACTAACTGCACTTCTACTGGAGTGAATTTTTTAAAATTAATTTAAATTAATTAATTTAATTAATTTAATTTTTTAATTTTAAAACCGCTATAAGGTCACCCTGGAGAAGAGGAGGCTCCGGGGTGACCTTATAGCGGTCTTCCAGTACCTCAAGGGGGCCTACAAGAAAGATGGGGAGAGGCTGTTCAGGAGGGCCAGTTGTGATAGGACAAGGGGTAATGGTTTTAAAATAGAGGGAGGTAGATTCAGGTTGGATATTAGGAAAAAATTTTTTACCATGAGAGTTGTAGAACACTGGAACAGGTTGCCCAGAGAGGTGGTGGATGCTCCATCCCTGGAGACATTCAAGGCCCGGTTGGATGAGGCCCTGAGCAACCTGATCTAGTTGGAGATATCCCTGTTCCTTGCAGGGGGGTTGGACTAGATGGCCTTTGAAGGTCCCTTCCAGCCCTAACGATTCTATGATTCTATGATTCTATGGAGGACAACCAAGTGAAAAAGACAGCAATTGAGTCCATCATCTATTTCATTATTTCAGAAAACTTGTTAACTGTGATTAAGGAATAGTAAATTCACAATGCTGTCTATATCTAGTTCCATGAAGGCGTTACACAGACAGACAGACATACAAAAACCAGTCTGTTTCTTTTTTGTCACATTCTTTATGAAAAGGTGGTTCTCCTCTAACCATTGACCTGAGCTATGGTAGGAATTACACCAGACTGAGAGGCTATGACACGAATCTAACTTTTATTAAATTTGTTTAATTTCTCTACCAGTTCTGTTCAGAAAATAGTTCTACTTCACGATCTTATTTAGAATAAAGAAAACAATTAGTTTATCCACAAGCCAGCTTATAGTCACTGAGGTAGGTGCAGGTTGTGTTGAATTGTGTTACCTTTAAACTACTGACCTAAGAAACGTGCAGGCTGCAGTGCCATAACAGCACAGAGCCGGACCCTGTCTGTTGGAGCCAGTGAAGGCTCCAACGCACATCAAACATTAAGTTAAAAAATCAAACAGCTACCAGGATGGGATCACCCCCTTTGCCTTTATATAGTGGGTTCAAAATTGAAGTTCAGGAGCTGCTCAAGAGCTCTTCAGCCATCCACGATGCATGGACAATAGCAGCAGTAATAAGAGGCACACAACAATCACTTCAACCATTCAATTTCAACCCCCTGCTTGATTCGAATCACAGCCTTAGGTAAGCAGGTGTGCAGAAACCAACCTAGCTTTGAAGTACCAGCAGCAGAACTGCGTACCCAAGCTACAACCACAATGAAGACACAGTCAAAGACTCTTAACGGAGCAGTTCGCCTGCCACATTCTGACCATCTGCATTTCTTCATGCAAATTAATAAAAACAAATTTGGGAGAGCTGCAGGCTTTTTGTAACAGTAGAGCATATTTATATCTTGTTTTCCACCAAATAAAGCTTTTTTGTATTTACAGATAATAAAAAAGTAACACAAAACAAGTCCAGGATCAATTTAAACTGCAAATAGTCTAAATAGGGCACATGAAACAGTTATACAAACAAAAGAAATTCAAGAAATAGCAACGCAAGCACCAGAAGCGCCCACTATTATCTATTCCTCTGACTTATTGCTGTCAAGTCCGACATAAAAACTTTGAAAATGCACACAATCCACACAAACGGTCCTGAACACTGTCTCTTTATCTTCTATATTTCGGTTTCCTTTGGACAGGCGTTACCACACTCAGATTGTACTCATGTACCCCCATTATACTGTATTCTTACCCTAGAAGTCACCAGTGATGGCAGAATACATGTTTTCACTTAACTCTCTGAATGTTGCTAGCCATACCAGTAAGTATACCAATGGCTGTACCTATTTCACATCGCTAAGACCAGGGGGCAGCAATACTGTCAAACACAAACCAAAACAGGTTGATTTCTGACAAATATATAAGCAACCATGGCATAGTTACACGAGGAAAAAAAGCAATTACAGTTATGGGAAAGTTACAGAAGCTAACATAGGTTATATAATAATAAAAAAATGTATAATTTTAAATGCTATCTTGCAATCACTCTATTACCTAGTCAGCTATTCCAAACAATAGCTCGATTAAAATTTTCAACATAGACAGTTTTTCTACTAAGTCAACATTAACTAATTTTAATTCTATGGAATTATATTTTCCATACCCAAGACTATCAGGAGAATGCCATGATTAACACTCTTTACTTGCATACCAAATGCTTTGCTCATGCCAACACATTCTGCAAAACTAAAAAGAATCTATTAAATCCATCTCCTAAATACGTGCTGACTCCTGAAGAATTGACAAATACTTGACTAACTAAGTGCATAATTCAAAACAACAACAAAGTGCAATCTGTTAAACAATAGAAAAAACTGTTCTTTCAGTGTCAGTATGCTAGTACGTTCAACCAAGCACAAAGCAAGAGAAGAGCTACACAATGTCTTGTTTTAAAGTCATATGGGAGACATTTCCTCCTAACCGCTGACCTAGTCCATAGGCAATCACACTGAAACCTCAAATAGGAAGCAGTGGACTTATAGATATCCCATAGAAACCAGCTCTGGAAGTTTACCGTTTTCACACTCCTCTTTCTTGATAGTGAAGCAGGACGAGCATTTAAATGATGGTCACAATAAGCATCAAAAAAAAAGATCCCAACACTGAGGCTTCAAGGTTGAGATGCTGAGACTGTATAATCACTTCTGCTGCATTATATGGCTCTCCTTCCACTACCTATTTTGTTTTCATATTATTTTCCTCACTCCAAATTCATCCCTTCATCCTTACCACATTTCTTAAACGGAGTCTCCCTTGGCAGGTTTCTGCAGAGTTCTGCACTGACTTGATCTCATGAGTGGCTGGGGAAAACCTCTGCTAACGCTCCCAAAGAAAACTCAGCCTTCATCCTCCCTCTAAAAAACCCAATATTCACACTTTTTTTCTACTGTAACAACAGCCAAGGCCAAAACCACCACGAAGTGCTACAGTAATATTTAAGTTCAGGCAACTGCTTTACGCAGTAATCTTTAAGACGCCAGGGCAGGAAAGGTTTCTGTAACTAGCTCAACACAAGAGCAAAGTCCCACAATTAAAAGACCAGATTACACGCACATGCATACCAATGCCTCTAGCTCCGCGGATTTGGGCGGGTGGTAATGCCCCGTCCCTGATGCTCTTTCTCAAAGAGAAAAAAAAAAGGGGGGGAGAGGAGGAGGGAGAGAGGAGAATGATTTACCTCTTCCAGCAGTGTGACCGTATTTCTGCAGTTCTGCAACCGGGTAGTGAAGCTGGAGGTGGTCGGGGAGTTGTAATCCTCTGTGGTCTCGGCGATGAACTCCGACACGGTGATCTGGTCCGGCATGATCCTGCCCCACCAGCACAGCCCAGAAGGAGCCGAGCGCACAGATCCGGGGGAGAGGAAGCCAAGTTTTGCGGGGAAGGTGGAAGGGAAAAAAGAAAAGGAAAATAAAATAAAAAA